TAATATATTGGAACCACAAGTTTTCGCATAAGGAGAAGGCAAATAAAATCAAGGGTATATTTTCTGTAGGGAAATCTATTTTATCTGTAAGGAATAATATCGTAGCATGGTCTCAAGACTAGACACGTGACGCCGCGAAATGCCGCCCCTGAAAGGGAGAAAAGAGGATTTAAAGAGCTTATTGGTCCCTATTTCATACTATTACTGTTAATTTCTTGTTTATTGTGGATATAACAGGAAGTTTTGTAAACTTTAGCCGTATTGTACTATGCTCCTCTTCCTCGAGATCAAACTATGTAGTCCCTCCACTCTGTGCCGAAATCCACACGTTTCATCGATAAATTCAAAAACAAACACTGCTAACTTCACTCCGCGGATAACCTCTGGCGGCCATATTGCCGTCCTGATCTGTCATTCTTCTATTGTGTGCCGTGAAAGAAACACGTTTTTTCGTGAAAATGCGAGATCACCAGGAAAAGCTGGATGTACGCGAGCAACTGAAGTGTTTTAAGCGAAAGCTTAAAAAGCTCAAGCGCCAGGCGAAGGAAAAGCGCAAAAAGCGCGGTAAGTATCGCAGTAATTGAGCGATTTCTCTGGAAACTTCTAGAATGTTCCAGCAACGAGAAGTTCCGGCAATATGGCGGCGATCACGCTGCAGTGTTCTTTGAACACAAAAATAAGAGTTGCCACTCTTATAAATGAGTCACACTCATTTAATTTGCGCTTTCTGCCAATCGTGAGTCATACTCACAGTGTGAACGGGGTTTGATCGCCCCCCGGTAAGTAGTTTTGAGCCGAAGGCTCAAGTTCACACACGGCAGAAGAGAGTTAAACTCTCCGGAAAACTAGTTGTCACTAGTCTCCGCCAGTCATACTGGATTTTGCGCAAATGCAGCTCATCAAGGCCTCCTTCGAGTTCATCATAGTTGACATACTTCGTCTTACTTTGAACTGCAGGGAGAAGCCGCTCGCCAGGCCGCCGGGAGAGGAGCAGGCATCGCAGCAGTCCGGACAGCAGCCGACGATCCAGCGTCAGCAGTCGTGACAGCAGCCGTGAGAGTAGCAGTGAGCAGCCCAGATATCGACCGAGAGATAGATCGAGATCTACAATTGCGTCCACAAGTCAGCTCAGAAAGAAATCTTCTTCCATTTCTGAGAGAAGATCTGTTGAGCTCACAAGCTCTTCAGAAAGTGAGGCTAAGAGTGCCACTCCCTCACCTTCTAAGACAGGATCCGTAAGTCCTGAAGGCTCTGTACGTCCAGAAGATCAGAAAGACACAGCTGACCATGTCACTGAAGCTGAGCAAGAAATTCTCAATATTCTTGGCGAGAATCTCTACGGCAATCGCCAATTGGCCCCAGATGTCATTCCGAATTTGGCGATGCGGTTCGAAGAGATTGTAGAGAAGGGATTGCCAGAAGAGTCAGTGAAAGAGCTTTTGCTACAGCTCACACCACCCAAGAACTGCCTCAGATTCGAGCCACCAGTTCTCAATCAGCTGGTGAAGGTCATAATGCACGACGCTATTGTTGCCAGGGATGACAAGATTGTCAAGAGACAACAAAAGATCACTTCCGCTCTCTCAGCGGTGACTCGAGTGATAGTGGCGTTGTTGAAGGAGAAGGCTCTTCCCGGATGGAGTGAATTGATGACACTACTGGCAGGCGCAGGCAAATTGCTGTCTGATCTTCAACATGACGAATCTGTAATTCGCAGAAATCTCGTGATTGCGAATGTGGACGTGTCGATGAGGGATGCATTCCAATCTACAACAACTGATGAGTTTCTCTTTGGGAAAGACTTGGAGGAGACGGTTAAGACCACCAAGTCAATGCAGTCGACGGGAAGAGATGTCAAGAAGAAGGATCCGAAGCCAAAAAACTGGAAAAACCCGCCGCGCAATCAGCAAAGGAAATATGCGTCAACTGGCGGGTCACCGAGGTCAACGAGGAAGCCGCAACAACACCGTCAACGTCAACAGCCATCCAGGAAATTCAGAGACAGCCGAGGGGAGAACAAGAAGTCATATCACCGTCGCTAATTAATGTAAGAAAACCTGCAGGGCGCCTGCAGTTTTTTAGCCACGCCTGGAATGACATAAGTAGCGATAAGGTGATCCTCTCTTGGTTAAAAGGATACGAAATTCCTTTCAATAATCATGTAATCCAAGATAATCCTCCATCAGAGGATGACTCATCAGCTTCTGAACTTGCTAAAATCAAAGATTTGGTGGAGCAATTGATTTCAAAAGGAGCAGTAGAAGAATGCTATCCCGAGAAAAATCATTTTATTTCCAAAATATTCTTAATCCCAAAGCCAGATGGTTCGAATCGATTCATTATCAATCTGAAAAGACTCAATGAATTTATTGATGCGCCACATTTTAAAATGGAAGACGGCAGAACCGTCATCAGACTCATGTCCGAGAATTGTTACATGGCTTCTATAGATATCAAAGATGCTTACTACTTAATTCCTATTCACGAGACGCATAAAAAATATTTGCGATTTCTGGTTAAAAGTACTCTTTACCAATTTACTTGCATGCCCTTTGGATTAAACGTAGCTCCTTACGTTTTCACAAAGATCATGAAACCTGTTGTCTCCGCTTTACGCCAACAAGGAGTCACATTGGTAGCTTACCTAGACGATTTATGGATAATGAAAATCCTATTCGGAGTGCGCAAAAAGCGTGAGATGTACAGAAGAGCTTTTGATCAACTTGGGGTTCATAATTAATTATGAGAAGAGTAAATTGAAGCCGTCTCGAATTTGTAGATTCTTGGGAGTTGATTATAACTCTCTAAACATGACGGTAGAGCTACCGAATGACAAGAAAGCTAAGATTAAAAAATTGACTTGTTGATTGAAAAAATTGAATGTTTTGCTGATGGTTATAAAGACAGTCAAATTCTTCTTCGTATTGACAATACGAAATTTGGATCTCCACAGATAGATCTTTTTGCTTGACGCATTTACAATCTCTTGGAATTCATATTTTTTCTATGCATTCCCGCCGTTTTCAATAATTCTACGAGTCTTACAGAAAATTCAGTATGAAAAGGCCGAGGGAATCATGATTGTCCCAAAATGGCCATCTCAGCCGTGGTACCCAATTTTTCAATCAATGATTGTTTCAGAAGTAATCTACTTCTCAGCTAATTCATACATTCATTCTTCCATTGACAGCGAAACCAATTTCTGGAGAAAGATTACCCTGGTTGCCGCGATTATATCAGGGAGAGCTGCATACTAAAAGGGATTCCAGAACAATCTCATGACCTCATTCTATCATCATTGACAAACTCATCATGGAAACAGTACGAAGTGGGCCTCAAGAAATGGTGGAATTTTTGTTCATCCCACAAGATTAATCAATTTGATCCGGTTGTTCCAGAAGTTTTGAAGTTCTTGAGTGAAGAATTCAGTAAAGGAGCCCCATATGGGACACTCAACGGATATAGATCAGCAGTAGCGCTACTAGCTGGAAATTCTTTAGCCCAAGATGAGTATGTGAAAAGATTTTTTCGGGGTGTGAGAATTGCAAGACCGAATAAGCGTAGATATGATATAACGTGGGATCCACAAATTGTTTTGGATTTCTATCGTCAAATGCCACACAATGTTGATCTTTCTCTTAAAGATTTGTCACACAAACTAATAATTTTGTTAGCATTAGTAACAGGACATCGACTTCAGACATTCTCGCTTATTGAAATAGATAAAATCAGAGTTTTGTCTGACAGTATTGAAATCAGAATTGTCCGTAGAATCAAAACTTCAAGTTCAAGTGATCATCAACCAAATCTTGTGTTGCCATGCTACAATGAGGATTTAAGTATTTGTGTAGCATCAGCCATGAAGGCTTACATTCAGAAAACTGAATTGATTCGCGGAGATGTAAAAAATCTCTTTATTTCTTTTAAAAGACCACACAAGGCTGTTGGAGCTCAAACATTGAGTCATTGGGTGAAAAACATCTTACAGAAATGTAATATCGACACCACAATTTTCTCTGGGTACTCTACCCGACACGCAGCCACTTCGGCTGCAAAAAGATGTGGGGTGGACATTGAAATAATCAAGAAGACAGCAGGGTGGTCCAAAAAATCGCAAACATTTGCGAATTTTTACAATTTGCCACTTTCTCAAGACAAGGAGAGATTTGCCAAAGCTATCTTAGATGGAAAGTGAAATGTATAACGGTGATCTCCCAGGTTCAAGAGAGATATTTTCATATTTCTTAAATAAACTGAAATAAACTTGTTAATTCACATATAAAGCCGTAACGAGCTATAAACATCTACATAGTTTGATCTCGAGGAAGAGGAGCATAGTACAATTTAATGATTAAACGAACTTACCAAGTGAAGTTCTATCATAATTGTACGAAGCTCCTCTTCCGAGATGATCAAACCCCACCCGTTATGTTCCCAGACTTTCTAAGTCTAACCCAAATACTAAATCGTTACGGCCAAACTTTGAAAAATGACAGATCAGGACGGCAATATGGCCGCCAGAGCTTATCCCCGGAGTGAAGTTAGCAGTGTTTGTTTTTGAATTTATCGATGAAACGTGTGGATTTCGGCACAGAGTGGAGGGACTACATAGTTTGATCATCTCGGAAGAGGAGCTTCGTACAATTATGATAGAACTTCACTTGGTAAGTTCGTTTAATCATTAAATTAACTTCCCCTTAAATAAGCTTTAGAGTTAAAGGAACCTTTTCATTTTTCAAATACACTTCAGCACACTATTTTATGAGCACAGAATCGAATGCGGAGAAGGTTCTCGACGAAATACCACATTTTATCCAGCACTACACACTCTATATGTTTCGAATATGTGGCAAGAGACTTTAGAAAGGGTATATGATTAACATAACATATACACTGCGAAGAAACCTCAGTTAGTTTCAATTAGTTTTAAAATCTGAAACACCCTCTCCTAAATGAAGACTTTCGTAATATACTTGAGTAACCTTTTAAACTTTACGATCATGGCGTTAAGGGATATTAGACCTCCTTATGACTTCCTACCCTTAAAACTGTCTCAAGTTGACAATGTTGTGCGCAGTGTAGCATCTGCTGAGATGGTGAATTGAGGAGACAAGGGAAGTTGAATGTGAAAAGTGCCACTACATCCCCATAAATTCCTCCCTTTTGTCTGTCCATTCAACCTGGGCGCAACATGATGGCGAGGAAGACCAGCGTGGCTTTCTATTGCCATCATAATAATTGAAATTTTTCACATTTTCGCCGAGCACCTGAGCTTGAGAGAATGGCTCAGGAGAGAAATTGAATACGTCCGTGTCCGTGTTAATGAGTAGAGATACCTTTTCTTTCCACCTTGCATGGCCTCCGTGCGCAATTCTCTGGTCCCATTTAATATTCTTGATTAATTACACCAGATACGTGGCCGAGTCGGGATATCGTGATAAACATTTCATTTTTTTTTTATTTCGCTCTCTCGTGCCCACTTGTTGGTCGGTCGCGGCGCGAAAATGGTGAGGTGTGAAGGTATCCTTTTGCCCCATCTCTGTTGACATTTACAAGGATTGCCCTAATTGCGAAGCTCTTTCGCAAGACACAGCATAAAAGTCACCTTCGCTGGCTTCTTGGGGGGGATATTTTGGGTGAAATTTATTACCAAAGTGGATTAGATGGAGCAGTTTCATGTTGAAAATTAATGATATTGCGAAAGTTCAGTCGGGGGTGGATCTTTTTGAAAGGATCCCGCCAAAATACTTTGCTCACGAGTCCATCAATCTCCTTTCTATTCAGTTTCTCGAGGCTCTCGCTCGCTTTTTTCCGCCGCATATTTGGGGCTTTCAGCGTGGCATTCCGGAGCCGTGCTTTAAAGTGAATTGCAAGAAAGAAGGAACATGCCCTCGAATCGTGGTTACACATGCTAAGAGGACAATGAACAGGAACGTGGTCGGACTACAAATCGCCGTCTATCAGGACACACCATCGGCCCATCTGGCCAGATGTTTGGGGCTTCATACACGATGGGGTTTGCGTGAGGGAATCCATCTGAACTTTGCAGATATGGTGCCAGAGAATGTCGCACTGCTGGCGACTGCCAAGTGACTCACCATCGCCAATATACCACGGAAATCCCATTGTAAAACCCCAAAAAAAGATTCTGCTTGTTTACTCTCTATTACACACGAATGGAGAGTCTCTGTCCAGAGAGAAGAAATCATGTTCTGTAGCACAAGATATTCAATTTTTCAATCTCCTAACAGCCACGAATCCTCCCCAAAAAAGGCGCCCCAATTTCACTCCAGCCGCACGCAATATTGCATTGTATTTTCGCCAAGATGTTCTCACACATTTACGAGATTGAGTTGCTTAATAAACCTATCATTTAAATACTTGAGTGCTGGCCATGGTTGGAGATGAAAATTTAATTTTCTGAAAGCATCCCCTTCATTTGGAACAATTTAATTTGGCTAAAATTCGCGCGTCTGTCTCACATTATTCTCGGCTTTTTTCTACGCCGCGCTCGCCCATCTCTATGGCGATTACTTAAGGCTCTCCCTCTCGCCTATCTGCCGCCCCAAAAGCACCCCAGCGAGATGAATGGATAATACAGCGCGAGATGAGCATTTTACATTTTCAAATTGAGACTATTTACAATGCCTAATCATTAAATTAAGCATTCTGAATGTCGCTCTGCGTCGGAATTGTCTGCCAACAGAGAAATATTGAAGTCATTTCCATGCTTTCTGAATAATTGCACCAAATGGAGCACACAATAAACTTTCCCCACATGGCAGAGCACTTTTGGGGGCACATTAATCGTGATTTCGTTGAGTGAATTTCCAAAAACGAGCACCTCAACGGCCAGAATTACTCCTTCGAAATGCACTCTTTTCCAAGTTATAACTGCCATGTAAATCTTTCATCTCTCCTTGTGAAGGAATATCAATTTGTTGTGGCGAAGTTAACTCACGATTTCACATGAAGTATGCGGTAAAATGAAATTCCAAAGCAAGGGAAGTCGCAGAGTTCCTTCAAAGACCGCGCGCGCTGCAAGAGAAAACGTGGCTCGAATTCACGCTAAAGTGTACACATTGTGTAATCTTTTCATGCAGAATTAGCATATGAAGAGCGCCAATTTGCTCCACTGAAGAATTCATATTCAATTCAAGGGGATTAAGCAGAGAGAGAGTGAGTGGTATTTTACATTGGCATTTAATCCCGCGCGCAGAATTCAACCACGCGAAGAATCCAAACGTCGAGGGCAAAAGAATGGAGTTTAGGAAAACTTTCTATTCGCTATGTTTGTCCGAAAATATGAGCGCTCGCGAAGGGGTTGCAAAAAGTGCTGACTCGACGATGGCGCACAGAGGAGAAATGTGAATATGTGATGAGAAGAGCAACTTTTCCTTGCCTCTGCTTATTACCTTAATTTCACAAATTTCCTCCTGTGTAACTTTTCAGCGGAATTTCCATTCATATATAAACATCAAATATATGTGGCGGACTTTAAATTTTAAATTCAAACCACCTTCTATTCTTCTCATCTCCTTCTCTCGCGTCCAGCGACCACGAAATTGCATGCATTTTTCCACGCCTCACCTCAAATATCTCTGTGGAAAACAGTGGAAAAATGCAGCAGGTCGCATTATTAATATTTCCAGGTATGACATTCCCTCCCCTGTTGCATTGAAGCCGCCTTGGAAGCCGCCAAGTCATTATATTTCATTTGCCTGGAACTCTGGAGATCCAATTGGATCGTGCGGAATTTGCAATAAGACTTCATCATTTTGCCATATGGCATAACAGCCAATGCACGTATGATGGCAATCGATTTGAGTTATTTAATATTGTGTACGCTGATGGGAAGATAAATTGGAGATATTGCAGAATTCCCTTGCATTGCGAAAGTTCATATAAGTTCAGTACTTTCCGCATTCCGAGAGAATTGAATTTCCCGCATTTTTCACTTTGTCTCCGATCCAGTAATTTTTCAAGTGAATAATTCAGCTAAAACGTGAGAGACGAGTCGATGTATTACACCTGAAGGTGCTTCTCAAGACATTGACATCGGATGGGTTTTGAAAGGAGAAAATTCGTACATCGAGTTTCTTATCTAGACCATGAAAGGCTGAGGAATGAAATCACCGCGCATTCAAAGGTGTCCAAAGACTTCATTAACACTGATATTATGGAATGTCTTGGGAGTATATTTTAGAAAATAACCAAATAAGGTTAAACTCAATCAAATTTTAAGATTTAAATATTTGAAAATTGAACTATAGTTCTGTATTTTCCATTGAATTTTGCGTTTTGCGCAAATAAAGTTTGATAGATTGATGTTTTTCATATAATTCGTGGTATTCTTGGTTGTTTTTGCATCCTAAATATCAAATATTCTGAAGAAATATTTAATTAATTCTCAATGTGTTTCACTCGGAATTTTTCCCAGAAAAAATCCCCAATGTGAACTATTTCCAAATTTCCCTGCAATGCAAAGTGGCGAAGGAGAGTAAATTGTGACGGTTGCCTGGGTCGCCTTTCGTCCTTGTCACTGATAAATTCCTCCGGAGGAAGTGGGTCCAAAATTGCGACAGAGCGAGGATAAATGGAAGAAAGGTGTACACAAAGGGGGGTGCCTGAGTGGTGTATTGAAGGGAAATATAATGTGTTTGTATAACTAAAAAGTGAACAGGGAAACAAGCTCGCAGAGTCATTAATAACTTTAGTCACGTCTCCCAAGTCAAATGGATAAGACTTAGGATGAATTTGAGCTTTGCTGGAGAAACTTTATCTTCACTTATCTGCTAAAGACGTCTTAAAGGCGTGGCGACATAAGGCATACATCCAGACAAACCAGAGATTGCAGAAAGAAAATAGATAACACAAGCAGGGATTCTCTATATTGATTCAATTTGCCGTCTGTGTGTGTTTGAGACGGAAATTGACTTTCACTCCATGGGTGAATTATTATCGAAAAATTTACGAGCGTCGAGAGAGAGAGGCGAATTTAATAAGAAGGTCATAATTTTCCACCTCATTCGACAATGCCGGCATAAATACGAGAGGAGATTCCGCATTAATCTTAATTGCATTTCTGTCCTCGTCCTTTTTAGGTGTGAGACTGCTGGATCTGCAGGGGCCGGTGTTCCTCCACGAGCCGCCGCATCGCGTTGAGTTCTCCAACAATTCCCTCACGACAATCGAATGCTCAGGCAGCGGAAGTCCTGCACCAGAGGTGAGTCGCTCGCGCGCCCCCTTTTACGACCTGCCCAAAATCACCCTCCGATATTGCCCTGTCTTTTATGATTTCGCCAACAGAAGCTGTGGCTGTTAATTTCTCGACGTGCCCCATCATTCGCGCCGTAAGAAAGTAATTAAACTGCGTAACTACTGTAATCCCTCCTAAAAGCCAGCATATTTGAATAGGGCTATTTTATTGCCATCACGCCGAATGATTTTTACTTCACTTCCTCCAGATATGCGGATAATTAACTCCGTGTATGTGTTGAATCATTAACTCCTATGAATTTTGACAGCTGTCAATTGTATTTTGTAATTCAACGTCTGTGAATTCAACGCGTAATTTATGTGTTAAATTACGACGGGTGAATCGAAAACTGTAAAAAGTCGATTTTCCTTAGTTTACGTCTTATGTATTTTTTAAAAGCTCTTAATCTGTTTTATTTATAAAAAGTGTTGAGCTTTGTATATAAAAGGAAAAAAGTAATAAATATTATAATAACAATAAATTAATACAATATTTGTTATATTTTTTAATTTTTCACTTCAAAACCGTGAAGAAAAGTTCATGTAATGTATGAAAAGTAGATTTTTTAGAGCATTTCTCGACTTTTTTCTTATAAAATATCCTCAAAAACTATTTAAAGCCGACTTTGGAAAGTGATATTTTTATGAGTATTTATTAATTTTGTTATATTTCAGTCAAAAATAATAAATACGAATACAATTAATAATAATGAACGATTAGAAGACTTTTTTTTAGGTGAATCCGACAAATTTTCCAGCAAAATTAACGCGAAAATTTCACCAAGCGCTCCTGAAAAATGACAATTTTGCCTTTTCAAAGTTTTCGATTCACCCGTCGAATTCGAAAATCATCCTTCCGTCAACTGCGCAATTGCCATTGTATTTATTCTACTATTAATTTGTGTGTTTAATGAACATTACTTGGGGTGAAGTAATGGCAATAATCATGTTGATTGCTTAACCAAAATAGGGAACATTGTGCGGCAAAGTTGGGCGATAAGGTTGCGACTCGGCGAACAATAAATAAGCTCGAAGACACACAATTTCAAGAAAATCGCGTGTACTTGTTTACATGAAGACATGAGCAAGTGGCAATTAGGGATATTTTGATGTGTTTCTCAGTTCTTCCCTGTGGAATGAATGTTCGTTCTTTAATACTCTTCTCTCGCTACCAAAAACCCACTTTTCCGGCCACTTGGCCTGCCTTCCAGTCTCCCGAATGAGTGGCAGAAGTGTTCAGTGGATGCGTACATGAGAAGTAGCACTCTTCAGGGATGAATGGAATACTAAATAGGCAGCGCACGGACATGCAAAGCAACCCCTTTGGCTGGAATGCTGTGTGACGTGTGCGTTTGAGTGTTAACACAGCGTGCATTTCATTAAATTTTATATTGTGAGCATTTTATCAGGACGGAGGAATTTGCATATTTTCACCATCTTCAGCGCAAGAGGGACTTCAAAACTTGAGTCGTGTAGCATATTTTTAACCGCAATCCTCTCTCAGCACACACACACATATTATATTAATTTATTCTGCGAAGGTGCGGGAAGGAAAAGAATCCCTGCTGAAGCCTTCTAGAGCGAGAGAGTGAGAGTTTATTGTGCGCTGAGATGTTGTGAGAAATTCTCAGAATATTGCGCGGTTACTTTTTTATTGGCACTTTGAACTTGTTGAATTTTGTCTGGTGATTCTCAAGAACTCCGCGTGTGAAGAATCACTGAAAAATGACAGTTTTTTTTCGATCAATTATTATGCACTTTGGCAAATGGGAAGTTTAATTGTACAATTCCGCCATGCGTCAATTTCCCCAGTCAATATTAAATGATGAATTCACATGAAATTGCATTGCTATCCATAAAGCGCATAGGATAAATTTGCGAGCGTTGAGTGAAAAACTGCCGTGTCGACGGAAAAGCCAATGATGAATTCTGGAACGGATGGCAGAAAAAGGTGGCGAAGAATTGAATTTTGACGGTGTTAATTGGATGTTAAGTATAAAATCATCATTTCCTGAATTCACACGCCAGAGTGAGAAGCTCACAAAAGCTCCCATAGGGAGGAACTCATTCATTTTCCATGTTTCGCATTTGTTACACATCCCACACCCCGCAATCCATCAGCAGTGGCGGAGTGTGGGCCAAATTGATGATTTCCTACACCATTGCCGGGGCGCCTTTTGCCATTGCCAGGGAAAAGGAACGAAATATCCGTTCTGGGCGATAAAACACTGATAATGATCTCTAAAATTGGAACTTAAATCGATGGATAAAATCCACTTCTCCGCATTTTCCATCTTACACTTTTCCCAACAATCAAACTTCTTTTCTCCCCGCTTTTTTTCTCCTCTTCCTTCACACTCTTAAGATTAAAACGCAACAATGTGCAGACCGTAAAGTTCCACGCCAGAGAGCGTGTGGAAATGGACTCGGCGAGCGAGAGAGTGAAATTATTTCTGGTGCCGGCGACTGAAGTGCTCGGCGTCAAATGGAAATTTCGCAGTGTGGGTTGGAGCACCATGTCATTTAAAAGGGGTAATAAACCCGGAAAATCAAGAGGACAGAAGAGACAGAGGCGCCCTGATGAATATTTGTTCCCTGAAGCGAGTAAGCACAGTGTCAAGTAGCGCACACACAATGGGGCCAGAAGGGTTGGGTTTGATGTACAATCTTCAGCAAAAATCTTTAAGAGTCTGCTATATATCACTCTCGTCGTCTTCTCCAGCCACATGTCATGAAACACACCCACTAACATTTCAATTTTTTCCTCGCACACCCACACCACGCCAGCCCAGCGAGGGTTGACGCACACAGTATGTCCGAGAAGCCCTAACAGCTCCAATTTAACACTCAGAAGCACTTTGTGGCCACCGTGGCCAGATTCTTCGCCTCCACGATTGCGACTGCCGTCGTTTTGGGCTGTGAAGTCGGCGGCAGCCGCAAACGTGGAGGAGGAGAATGTTATTTATTTTATTATTTGAACTGTAACTGTCGTGTTCCACGCACAAATTATTACTTTTATTATTAGTTTACTTCTAGATAAAGCATAAATAAACCTCCAAAACCTTCGTGCGTCAGCAGAGACATCTATCAGACAGAAGAATGCCGTTAAAATATGAATAAAGATGCATATTTCAGCGTGCAAGAAATCCCAAATTGTATCTTGATTAACAAGAAATCACTTTTTCCCCAGAAAATCCGGTAAAATTGATCAAATTAGTGAATTTATACAAGAGTTCAGCTTGATATTTTACCTGAAACTCTGTGAGCTAAAGTATTAAAGTGACTGTAATTTTTTATTCTTCAACTTCTAAAAATATCTTTCTGTCAACCCTCGAAAAAAATGCCATTATCAATCATTCTGCTCTCTTTTTTCCGTGGTTAATTTATGATTTACCTATAATATATTCAAAAAATACCCCTCAATTATGCAGCGCCCAATTAAAGTTGCAGCCAAAATTCATTATCCAGCAGTCGCTTCGCTATAATATCAAAACTTTTATTTCCCTCATTTACTATGTGCCATTGTATAAATGAACTGAAGCACTGCATCGGGTGTGGAGAATTGAAAATCGATAAGTCGGGCGCGCTCGAGGAGTGTGAGTTTCCAAAAAGGCGGTCTTTCATGCACCCCATCCCCATCGCCATATCCCCGGCAATAATGGTGTACAAGAGAGCATTGATACATTTTTTATGAGTTGCACATTATGTTGGCATTGTTTTCAATTATACAAAACACCCATATAGGCGAAAGCCAGCACGATACATTGTCGTATATGGTGATGATTATGTGATACTATATTTGTCGCTAATGGCCAACATATAAGTGCAAAAGTGCCTTGTGCAAATGCTCCAGGGCCTGAGTGGGTGGCAAACTCTTAGGGGCTCAGGTGGTCGGGCGTCATGATTTCGCCGTAAATGCTGTATTAGATACAATTGAAACTTTTCAGCATTTTCCACCAGCTAAATTCATCTACAGGGGCTTCTCAATTCACATCGAATAGAATTCCCTTCAATGCACTTCACATTTCAACACCGATTTCCCGTTGTAGGGCTTCTCAACTCTCAGCCAAGGAGGAGTTAATGTGGGCTGAAGTGGTGTACAGATTCGTAGAAATATTTAAGAAGTGGAAATGTTGCATATTTTTTAGGTTATGTGACTGACTTAGGACTGAATAACTTCTTAAAGAAGAAATTATTGCGCCTAAATTGAAAGTATTTTCACTTTATTGGTAGAATTGCGTATTTCTCAATGAAAATTGTGTTTTTTAGGGTAAAAATGATAAAGTGTAACTTAACCTCACTTTTTTTTAAATAAACTCTTGCGAATTTGAGTTACGCAAAACTGCAATTTTAGCGGAAGAAAATTATAAAATATTGTGTGAAAACGTGAGTTTTAGAGTTTTCAGTTAGATTTTGGTTAGATTTTAGTCAGATTCCAGTTATTAGTTAATTGTCTTGTTATTATGACCAAAATAGATAAAGAAAAGAACAATTGGAGAAAGAAAATCATGAAATTGTCTGAAAATCGGACTTAAAGAGTTGTCAGTTAGATTTCGATTAGTTTCTGGTTAATTTTCAGGTGATTAAACATAAAAATCACCACCAAATTTGACAGAATATTGCTGATGCTGACATCTGTTGTCAGTTCAGGGATTTTGCAAACAGTTTTCATCATATTATCTCCCCCTTGAGCTGAACATATTTTGCGCGAGTCAATTTGTGAAAATAATGTGTTGAAAAAAACATGTTTTTCGCCATTTTTGCTGGGATAAAAATTCTTCATTATATTTACCTTCCATGGTGACAGACAGGAGCGAATAGGCAGACAAAGAGCTGTGATGCGGAATATTAAAAGAATGGCGTGTGTGTGTGGCTTTTGTAATTAAGGCATCCGAAAAGGGGTTGCCATTTGCACTAATAAGAAACATCAAAGATGAACGTGCTCTCTTCACCGCCTGAGCGCCCAAGATTGAGGCAGAGCCAGATAATATTGACGTGATGAGATGCCTATTATAATTCTTACGCACACACCCACACTCCAGCCATCAATTTACATATGCTGTGCTCCTGAGGTGGAATACATTGGGCGGTCTGGGAGTCGTGCGAGCTTTTCCACTTGACTCAGCACACGTCATCATCAGCATCTTCCCTCGCGCCGCCACCCCTGCCAACCGCCGGAGGCACATAATCACAGGGAGTGTGTGATTTTTCTCACCCCGCACACCCTCGGGACTTATTTGCATTTGATGGCATGTAAATCACGAGAAAATCTCATATCCTGGGCGATGCAATTGTAATTTTCCACGCGTGAAACCCATTGATTGCACAGGGAAATCCTCAAGCCCAGGATAATTCGGTACAAAGTGAAATCCCCTCAATCTGATAAAGGGGATGGCGGGGGGGAAAAAGGTGTGAAAAGAGGGTCACGTTGAATTTTGCATGGAAGAGTGTGGAAGTTTGAAAATTTTATGTCCACATTTAGGATGGAGTCCTTGTCTTTCTCCACTTCACTTGCCACAGAGAGCTACAGAGCGTCCCCTCAGAGCACAATAAAGCCAAAGTGAAATTGAGTCCCTGGAGGAAAATTCCAGCCAGAGCAAGTGAAACAGGTCAACAATAAAATATATTTCTGACTTGATGCAACTCACTTTTCCTCACAAACTTCCAGCCGCCCAACTCGCTACTTTACCCGCCCCCAAAAAACATGGAAAATATTCAGTCGCAAAACAAGCAAATCAAGGGGCGAATCACTTGTGCAGCCGATGAACCCTGAGAATTTTTCAATCAGCCCTGAATACTTACTCTCTCAAGTGTTTAAGTCGATCGGAAAAGGAGCGTTTCTCCTCAATCTCAATCTCAATCGCCGTGCTATTGTTTGTTGCTCCATGAAATGTGCATTGAAACTTTAATGAGGCACATTTATTATCCACCAAGAGTCTGAGACTCAGAATCGATTCATGGAGGGAAAATCTTTAAGAAGTCTTTACACTTTTGCACCACAATTACATGTTCGCTCACTCACAATAATACAGAAAAGCAACACTCATTCCTCAGCTGAAAAGCCCCTCGACTGCCCACTTTGCCATCACCCTAAAACTAGAGCGACACGTAATAATGAAAATGCTTTCTCCAGCATGATCGTCATGTGAATGTGGGAAATTTCAGAAAGTATCTCAACGTATCAAATTCATTTTAACGAACGACGCTCTCCTGTATCACATAAAAACTTTTTTTTTATTCATATTCTCTATGCAAATTGGAAGAGGGAGAGAGAGAAAAAAACAGGGAGAATCGTCATTATTTCCTCCTCATCACAAATATGCGAAATTGTTGTCAATTTGGAGCATTTTTTGTCCTCCATTCTCGTGAAACACAGGAATTTCAGGTGGAATTTTTGCTTCATATTTCAGGTTGAATGGTCACCCGTGTTGCCCCATCAAGATTTGGTATTTCCACTGTCAAATGGGAGTCTCCTGTTTTATCCTTTCTCCGCCGAGAAGTACCGTCACGAGATACACTCAACTGTCTACAGGTAAAAAAAAAGCGAAAACACGACAATCAATGGATCAATTCCCACTAAAACGAAGGAGTGTTGAACTTCAAACGAATTTTTGCCAAAATGATTAAAGTACTTCCAAGTATCTTTCAATTCACAGTCAAACACAGAGATGTTAAACTTCTCTGAAGATGAAAAACAGCCTTTCCTTTTCGCATTAAAACTAGGACTAGAACAGTGTTTTAGAGTTTTATGCGATTTCACATTGTGTAAGAGAAAGAAATTGGTGAAATTCGAGTTAATAATTGGTAAATCCCTGATAAAAAGAATTTTGTACAAATATCTTTCATGTTTATGCCTGAAAATTATAGTAACAATTGCAGATTGATCTATTTTTAAAAGATATTTGCAGATTTAGATCTATTATTCTGCTTTTTATAAATTAATTAAAACAACTTATTGAAGTCTTGGAAATATTACAAATCCAGGCTATACAAAATGGTTTAACACATGTGTGACTCAGAATAGCAAAAGCATGTGTTAAATCAATATAACACATGTTTTACATTTCTTGTGTGACTGAAAATTGCTTCACTGAATTAAAATTAAAGTAAATGGTGTTGTAACACACATAGTGTGTTGAAAATTTGAACACAATCACGATTTTAATCCTCACATGAGTAATTCAAAATACCAAAGACTCTTTTAAACCACTGTAACATCCCTGAGTTTCTCTGGGAATTGATCCTCAAATTGAAAGACTCAATTAATATTGTTTTATCCGCCTTTTCTCTCTCCCGTTCAAAAGGTGCAAACTGAAGAATCTGGTCGGCACGATTATCAGCCGTGAGGTTCATGTCAAAGGAGGTGAGTTTGTCGGCAATTAATGTGTACTCTTGTACCTCATAAAATGTGTGGCATTTCACCCCCCGCAACAATATATATAAATTGTCATGTTTCACCCCCAAGAGGTGCTCTTTCTCGCTCTCCCGAGAGAGATATCGCAGCCGTGTAAACCCACTCACTCTCGAGCTTGTATCACACAATAATCTTCCGGTTGTCGATATCATTTTGCCTCGAGATAAACGTTTCCGCTCTAGGACGTGCAAGTCCAATTTTCATCTCTCCGGGTACATGCGAAGGGTGTCTGGAAATTGTATTTTCAGGATATCTCACGATTCTCCATGTGATTGTGTGTGGCTTCAAATATTTTCTTATCGGATCATTGACTTTGAACCGTCGCCGCCCTATAAGGGCGATTTAACCCCCCCCTGGAACTACACATATCGAATGCCTTTCCCTCCCACACACACGTTATTGTGCCACAATAAATCGGATTGTCTCTCCAATGTGTGTGTGTGTGTGTGTGTTGGTGGGGTTTATATCAGGGAATACAAGACATTTTGCTTACTGGGTGAATTTTCGAAACAGCCGGCTTTAGGGTTAAATCGTTTTGTAATCAGATAGGGATTTCATATTGTATGGATTATCATAGCACAAAGTTGGATGACTTATACGACTTTCCTTCACCCAGAGAATCTCTAAATTCAAATCAGCATTTTCTCCAGATTCTTTCATCCACTCCACATAATCACGAAAGGGTGTGTGTGTGGGAAAAAGAAGAGACAACTTCCCAGTCATTTGATGAATTTGAATTAAATTATGTACCTGATTTCCCTTCATCCCCTTTTTGTGCGCACTCACAAAAGCACCTCGCAAAAAGGGGTGGAAGAATTTGTTGCATGATTCATTTGGCAAATCTCACAAATTGCGAAACACTCCGCGACAGACAGAAAAGTGGTAAATTGCAAGAATGGCACATCAGTGAATTCATGTGACTGTGCAGAAAAACATGTTTGCATAGCAAATTATTAGATTTGCTATATATGTCACCACGCGCACAACATTTGGGATTCTTTCTAGCTCTTGTGGCAAATTAAATTTCTCCACCAGAATTGCGCACTGACGCCAATGAGGTTCTCTGCCACAGTGAATTATGGAATGCTCTTTGGGGAGGAAATGATCATTTTACTGCAACATTACACTGTTTCATTTTAATCATATTTCGCACATTAAATGACTGAAAGACCACCAAAATGTATATGGCAGGAAAAAGGGTGTCATTTTGCTGGATTGCATTCAGAATGGAGTGAATTCTGCGAATTTGACAGATCACTGAGCGATATTCTATGAATTCCGTCAGAGAAAAGCTCCAAAACGCGAGCTTTGACAACACACGCGATTGCATAATTTGTATCAATTCCCAGTGCGATTGCTTAGCATTAGAAATGGGACATAAATTTTGCTTCCCTATTGAATAATTCAACATTGTTTCCGGTGTAAGATTACCTTAAGATGACAGTTAACTATTGAATATTGTAATTTCCCACCCCCTCCACGAATTTCCTCTCCACCCTTATCAAAGACAAATAATTGGCGCAAAGGAGAAACTCGAGATGTGCGAGTGTAAATTGATAATTAATTGAAAATGTATCAAACGACAGAAAATCACAAAGCTCTCTCTCTCTCTCTTGGCTCTTGTCGAATTGCATAATTTTGATTTGACTTTGATAGAAGCCCGTAATTTTGCACTTTGAGCAAGACTTTGAATAATTCCGCATGTGTGAAACGCGCTGAATTTCTCCCAGGGTTGAAAGTGTACTGAAACACACGAATACGCTGTATTATCACTAATTTATACGATGTGCCTAATAACGTGCGAGACATGAAAAGGTCGTGAGGCTGAAATTCATCGCAATGGCAGCAAAACTATGGGAAGATTATGTGTTCTTCAGTTACATTTATTCAATTTTCACTGGAGAGATTTCATCCCCTCATGTTATAAAATATTCTCTTTCATAGACATTTTCGGTGAAAATTTTCTGGGTGGGAAAATGTGCCAAATGGGGATGAAATTTGAGGAGAAATTTTTGTAGGGTGAAAGAAAAGGAGAGCAGAAAATATAGAAGAACTATAAAAGATGAAGAATTTTAATTCTCTCTTTCAATATTGAAACACCAAAGATTTTCCAGACTCTTTCACTTCACTTTCAACCCAATTCTTTGCCATCAAATCCAATTTCGAGTGTTCAAGAGAAGAGAGAGTGAGAGGGTGAAGAAATAATAATGTCTGCACCACAGAGTCTCCGCAAACCATTATGTGATATTTACTGAAAAGTTGGAAGCAATAAAGTTATTCTCCTGACTTTTGCAACTATGCAATGGACACAAGTCTATACAATGCATGATATGTGGACTTTCGAAATGTATTTCACTCTGTTGAGTACCTTGTTCGCCAGCCACGGAGAAAACGTGAATTATTCGCCTTATTGTCACCAAAATGCGCTTTAAATTTCTTCAAGGAAGAAGTGAAGAAAACACTTCCAGGAATGAATTCAAGGGGGAGATAATACAATCAGAAGTGTTGTACAACTCTGAGTGAATCATTTGTCTCTCAGATTAGCGTAATTCATTGATTTTCTAGTGATTTTTCTTAGAAAAACAAACAATTTGTCGTTTTTCTTACTCTTTTTTTATGTTATGTGACTAATTTGAGACAGATTTAGCAAATTATTTCATTCCAGAGACATGGAAAAACTCTTAATCATTGGTAGAATCAAGCTTTTGCACGCCAGAAAAGTTACCTATTATTGACTCTCAGACGTTAAGAAATACTGTAATTTACGCTAAAATGTAACATAACCTTAAAAAAAGCATTAAAGAGTTGGAAAATGTACATTTAGAAGAATTTATAACCTATTTTAGGCTGAAAATAGCTATTTTAACCCAGAATTTTCCTTAGACAATTTTTAAGAACATTTTAGGCGCTTTATTTTCCCCTTGTGTGAATCAGAGTTGAATCTTGGATTGAAAACTAAACTTTACTCTAGAATTTTCGCATCTCTGGCAAGAAAATTTCTCGGTGCACTCTTTGCACGAGATGCAGTTTAAATGGTGAATTATCCTCGGCATTTTACGAGAGCGCAGAGGAATTTTGATAAAAATTCCATACGTTTGTACATTTTGCCACAATAATTCACAAAATATATATCTCCCACCCACCCCAAAGAGCTCTGCATCTTCCCAACAATTCAGCGGCGAGGCAGCGGCAAATGGTTGAATTTATGTGGGTGGATAGGCACATAAAAATCAAGTGTGGCGGTCTTGGGGTTAAACCACTTAGCATTTTCTCTCTGTTCTCCGGGTGACCTTTCCTCGCAGTGTCCATAAAATGAGAATGAAAAATTATTTTGTGCGCTCGTGAGTGAGGAAAACTGTTCCCCTCTATTGATTCTACACCCCCAAAGTGAAGAACGGACAAATTTTGCTTCACTCCTGCAAAGATTTCCGGCCTCCACTCCACCCAAAATGTCAGAGATTTTTCCATTCTTGCCGCACACTTTTTTCTCTCTCTCTCTATATTTACTTATTCATAATGAAAGCCCAGACGCAAGGCGATACAGTGTACATTTCTAGGGCAGTTTCTGGGGCGTATTTCGGCATTGTTATGCTACTCCTTGGGCCACCGCGGAGCGTAGAGAATAGCAGAAAAATGGCAATAAACAATAGATTCCACCCATTCGGGCACGACCACACAAGAGCTCAGCACACATACATTTTTCACCCTCTGGATTTATTTTCACTTCAACCCCGCGCTATTGAAATTGATTACAATGGACTTTTCCAATTCAATTAAATGGAGGGTCTATTTTCCAAGTAACTTCCATCGAACAATCGCTGCATGCCAAACTTTCCACTCCCCCACTGTCCTTTGAAGCTCAGTGTGACCTTTTTTTTTAAATCACAGGCAAATAATTGCGAAGAATCATTGTTATTTATTGTGATGCGCCCGAAACCACCCGGCGCCTCCACTTGCGTCTGAGAGTGTTTTGGGGAAGTTTCTGTGTCAAATACAGAAATCATCGCATTGCCATCAAGTGATAATGATGTTTTTTGTAGAGAGTAATTTCCTTCTAATATGTTTCTTTCTCGCGACTCTTCAATCTTATTTTTTCCTCCACTAAATATAGCACGTAACAATTCTCAAGGGGGAGAAAGTATGCTTTAAATGTGTACATCGCTTGAAATTTTTCGACTTCATCCGATATTTCTGTAAAAATCCACTTAAAACACAATTTTCTAATTGTATTTTCTGCCAATAACCTCTTTTTCTCCCCAATCTTCCTTCTTTTTGACGTTTCTATGTCCCGATAAGAAGATATGCATGGCCTCAAATGCTTTCAGATTGTTTTTCAATTTGAAAGCTCTCTAGATCACAAATTCGTCTCTTACGATTTGCCAAGGAGCCTAAAATTGCTGATTCTGAGTCAAAGTCGCCCAGAAAGTTGTATAAATAAACATTTTCCAAGTTCAAATCGATATTTTAGAGGTTATGTTCGAGTTTAACACAATTTGCGGTGTTTCTTGGCATCAACGGAGTAGAATTGTAATATTGACTCTTCAATTTGTGAGTAAAGAAGCACTTCTTAACACTCCTGCTCAGCTGTACACCACTTCTAACTGCATTATCTTCCCTTGAACAATCTCTAAGAGCTGAAAAACAAGGACTTTTAGGGAAATTTCTTATTCTCATTGAAGCATTTCCCAGGGAAATGAGGAGCCATTAATATTTCTTGGCGATATCTCTTGTCCTTGATGCACACAAACGTCTTGGGGTGGCGACAGAGTGGGAGGGAGGGAGAGAGAGAGAGATAAGATGGTGGAAAGTCAGAGAGAAGGAATAATTAGAAAATACATGGCAATTAACAGAAGGAAGAAACTGCTCATTTCTAGTTGGGGACTTCTTCCTTTTTTGTATCCCTCCAGAGAAATGTCTTCAACTGGTATGGAAAAGTTGAATGGGGAGAA